ACAGACATATTTATATAAAACAGAAAGCTTTTCTTCGACAAAGTAATAAAGCCTATTTGACTTCAACTATTTTTCAAAACCTTGCTCTCTTTTAAATCAATTAACATACTTTCTTTTAAAGTCTCTTTAGACTGAGTTGTACTCTCTTCTGGTCTCCACTTTTTGTGAAAAGCTTGCGTTGGCCGTAACATTTTTTTCTTGAGATTATAATATTTTAATATTTTAATAATTAAAAATGAGACTGATATAGAACTCAGCGTTGTCCTTGTGACAAGTATTAAATCCTGTCAGGGCTACTTAATTGTACTTTAAAAGGATTTATGTTGGACATGATTACTGATCATTAGAAGCAGGTCAAGATATTAAATACTTCATTTGCTTTCTCTTTTTTCTTCTTGGTTTGTTTGCTTGATTGTTTGTTCATTTTTAAAGAAAAATAGGGCACATCTCCCTCTCCTTCTCAGTTCCCCACAGTTCAGTATTTCTGCAAACCATTACATTCCTAGAAAATGTCAGAAGCTATCATCACAACTTCCGTTATAAGAGAACTGGTCAGGACTAACACTTCAATAAAGTGAAATCTCCCAGCCCACCTAGAAGTAATTCCTCTTTAGTATTGCAGTAACATATTTGATGGGGTTGTGGGTCACATCCAGCAATGAAACTGAGAGCAGTGAATTAGGAGGCACAGATATTGTAGAAACATGACTCATTTCAAAACTGGGTATGTCTTTAATATTTCGTTAATCTTTTCACTGCCTCCAAAACAAAGCCTATGAATTTCCCATGCTGCTGGAAAGAGGCTAATTGGGAATGAGAAGGAAAGGTGTGATAAAGGATAAAGGTCAGATTTTTTTAACTGAAAATGAGAGATGTTATTTACACTGCTCCCTGAAAGAAAAATAAATTGTAAAAAATTGTTACCCTAAAAAACCAGAATATATTGTCCCTGAATATGCAGATTGAGATTCCCTGAGATCAGTAAAACCAGGTTATAATAATCAGCCAAAAAAGTCACCCTTTGCATCATAAAAATAAGTTGCTTCCTGTGGAAAGGTTTTAATGAAAAACAGGATTAAATTGTGCTACAGAAACATGATGGTTTGCATTTTTATCCTCTGCAGAGAAGATATTCAGTAGCTTTCTGCTCTTTACTTCAGCCTAGGGATTAGGGTAATATTGTAGGCTTAATTCTTGAAATCAGTGCTTGAAAATAATGAATCCCCTGAATCAGCATATTCCTATAGAGTTGAGGGGCTGGTTATGAGTACACAACTCAGTCTAGAGGCCATATGACCTGCTCCCTCAGAGACTCACAGGAACTGACAAGTAATGAGGGTAAGGCTGTCACATCTTCCCCAAGTGACATTTTGGGAGGTCTGGACAGGAAAGGTGGCAAAATGCAAAAGGGATGCACAAAGTTGAACAGACTGGCTGGGATGGTCTTTTTTCTCCAAAAGCATTTCAAATGTAATTTTTCACCAGATAAAACTGCAAGGCTAACTCCCCTGCCAGGTGTGTATCTGTTTGGTGAACCCTTGTGGCACAATGGGTGCCTCCCCCAGTACAGCTCTTCTCATCCTAAAGCAGGCAGGAACTTCGGTGTGACTTGCTCTGTGAATAGCACAAGAGTGTGTGCTTACAGCTAAGCACACATTTCAGAGATGTGATTTACCAATGCTTAAAATAGCATAATCCACTGGCCAACACAGGCTTGAATTCACAGTGCCAAAAAATCTAATAATGGAGGAAGGGACATACAATGTTAACAGAAACATCAAAAATTAATTTTGAGACACGTTTCTTTTCTTAAAAACACATTTGCATATTTGCTTTATAGCAAAGATTTGAAAACAAAAGCTGTACATAAAAGGAACACATGTTTTACCCGGGTGATGTTTCCTGTTTGAAAAGAATGAAATTCTTTCCGCATCATATGAAGCATTTTAAGATCGCCATTAACTTTCTGCATAAAGCATCCCCTTGCAAAGATTCCTGACACAAGCACCATGCCCAGATAGAATCTGTTTTCCCTACTTCATGATGCAGGGAAACAAAATGCAGTTTAAAACTGTTTAGATTTTTAAAAACCCGTGAGACTTGGTCTTAACATCATAAGCGGAACAGTCATAAAACTTGTTTTAAGAGATGGCAGCAGCAATACAAATAGTTTTTTGATGCTAGGTAAGCAGTTTCTAGACAGAAGTTAGTCTGCAAGAGAAAAGCTGGGGTGGAGAAGAAAGTTCATTTTCCACAAATGAAAAGGTAGTTTTCTTTTCCATTATTTACCCTCTTCTTCCCATATCCAGTTAATATGTGTTTAACAGTGCCGTTTGGTATTTCCTTTCCTCTTAATGTCTTTGCAGCATACAAAAGTGTTAAATGCTTTAAACATAAAAGTCTTTGTCAAAATCTGTATGCCTAGAAGTGTCCCCATCTCGATCTAGTTTCATAAAAGCTCTTACCTGTTACTTTCTTGTATTCATCACACTACAAAAAACACCACTGCAAATCACACAGCTAAAGAGACCCCACACATATTTTCAAATGAAAGTTGTGTGCAGGAAAACTCTTGAATTTAGAGGATTCTTTGTACTAAGACCTAGCATTAGGTCCTGACTGGCCAGATCAACTACAAGCTACTGGCAGAATTGTATTCTACATTTCCCAAAGGAGAACTCAAATACCTATGCAATAAATGATTAATGAGCCCTGTACCTTGGCTCAATCCCTGCAGTGCATTGCCACTCAAATATCTCTATTCATTGCCCCTCATTCCTCATCATGGAGTAGGCACCAACATAATTCTCTTTGGAGGACAAAATCACTCCTTTCACATGCTACAATTCCAGGAGATATTTTTTTTCAGCAGTGAATGAGCACTGACTCTATAGAGCCACACTGCTGCCAAAGGAAAGCCCTCAAAATGCTTCAGTGGTGGGCAGCACCTCCCCAGCACCAGTCAAAAGCAGCTGCCCCAGCTGCCCCTGCCTCCTACCAGGCTGTGCCAGGGGTGGTCATCACCATGGATCCGAAGTGGAATCCAGCTTGCAAGCCCTTGCTGGTGGCCTTGTGTATTGGGTTTGCACGGCCTGGGGTTTTGGTAGCAGAAGGGGCTATATGGGTGGCTTCTGTGAGAAGCTGCCAGAAGCTTTCCCCATGTCCAGCAGAGCCAATCCCGCCTGGTTCCAAAGATGGATGTGCCACTGGCCAAGGTTGGGCCAGTTAGAAATGGTGGTACTGCCTTTGCGATAACAGATTTAAGAAATGAAAACAAAAGTTGTTGTGCAGTTGTAACTGTGGCCAGCGAAGAGCGCAGTGGAAACATGTGAGAAGAACAACTCTGCAGACACCAAGGTCAGAGCAGAAGGAGGGGGAGGAGCTGCTCCAGGATGGACCCACGCTGCAGCAGTTTTGGGAGGACTGTGCGTGTGGGATGGACTCACGTTGCAGCAGTTTGGAGGGAGCTGTTGCTGATGAGATGGAGCCATGCTGGAGAAGCTCTCAGTGAACTGTCTCCTGTGGGATGGACCCTGCAGTGCTGCAGGAGAAGGACTCCTCTCCTGAGCAGCAGGAGAAGCCAGGGTGATGAACTGACCATAACACCCATTCCCTGTCTCCTTGTGCCAGCTGGACAGGAGGTAGAGCTCACAAGGAGGGAGGGGTGGAGGGTAGGTGGTTTTTTAAGGACTTGTTTTAACTTCTCTTTGTCCTGCACTGATTTGTTAGCAGTAAGTTCACTTCACATCTCTGAGTTGCACCTGTTTTGCCCATGATGGTATTTGCTGAGACATCTCTCCTGTCCTTATCTCAACCCATGAACCAAAATGCTAAATTTTTGCTAAATTTTCTCTTCTCTGTTCTGCTGCAGAGGGGAGTGAGTAAGCAGTTCATGGGTGGGCCTTTCAACAGTGGTATGTTCGATTGCTTAACTCTCTATTTAATGATGATATATTATTTCCTCCTGAGAAAGAAATTAATTCTTTAGCCTAGAAAAAGATGATTCTGGAGCAGTAAGCTGCCATATGGCAGGAAAGCCAGTTGGTAACTGTATGACCCTTGTGCTCTGGTCTCAGGTGGGAGACATAACCATGGAAAACACTGTGCCTGCCAGGAAATGATTCACTAGCCAGGGAGGCATTTTGCACCTCTCCAGGACACCACAGGCATGGTCCTGCCAGAAGGTCAGTGCCACTTGCAACAGGGATGAGACCCAGTAAGGGACATTTTATCCTCCAGCATTTTGTACCTACACACAACATCCTATGCTTATTACATCCTCAGTGTGCTCTTCACTTACAGCATCAGATTTCAAATCTCACTGCAGGATGGGGTGTGATTTCAACACAAATGCCTGTGGCGAAACTCATATATTGGCAGAAGGGTATAAGTAGTCTATGTCTGATTATATATATAATAGTATAGATATACTATAAGTAGTCTATATCTGTAGTCTATATCTGATTTATGCTGAGACATCCCAGACACCTCGGGCAGAAGTAAATTAGGATGAACATATGTTTTCACTTTGCAAGTAGTGTCCAAATTTCACAGGGGCGTGAAAACCCACATATTTCTATAGAATAAGTGGAAAATTCTTTCCTCTATATGAAATAATTTGAAGGATGGGTGTGCTCCCATACTTCCTTACCATTTGATGGAGTTGATAGCATTGCTATAGTGCTGATGATTTAAGCATAAAAGAAGCATTTTAATTTTGCATTTCTTCTCTCCAGTAATCTTTCAAAAACATTGCTCTGGGTTAAGAAATAAAGTTATTGGGATTTACAGACTAGCTTATTGGTACAACAGCAAGAAACCAATTTAGATTAGATTAGGCTAGCTTAGGTTAGGGTAAAGTAGGTTAGGATGCACTAGGCTGGGCTGGGCTGGGCTAGGCTAACTGAGGATCAGGGCAAATGCAGTGGAAGTATTTGGGTACAAAAACTTCTTTCTCGGGAAGTGCAGCCCTGTTCCTGCTTAGTGCTACAGACGGTGACGTCGTGGGGTGGGGTAAGAGGGAAGAGGAGGGGTGATCTCCTAACAAACAGCTGTTGCAGCTGCAGAGAGGAAAAAGGAGAAAGCTCAGGAGCAGCAGCAGCAATCCGACCCCTGCAACAGGTAATACTTCTTGAGTGCAGGTGACACAGACTGCTCAAATGCAAAAACGAGAGGGGAAAAAACAGGGGGTGGCATGTGGGAGAAAAGTACAGCAGCTGTACACAGCAGCTCTCTTCTTCCTGAACTACAGGGCTTGCAGCTTGTCATGGGTAGGAAGGGGAAGACACAAAAGTTCAGACCAACATGACTTAATGTGACTTAGAAGGAAACTATGTCAGCAGAGGGAATTTTCTAGCAGATCTTGCCTGCTGGGTAGTTTTTTTTTTTTTCTTTTTTGCTGAGGAGAAAGAAAAAAAGGAACATTGCTCTCTGGTTTCAGAGTGGGGGCTGGTTCCTCATGTGTGGTCAGCCAGCACAGGCACACGGGAAGGCGGCAGAGCACAGGAGTGCTGAGAGGCAGGAAAGTGCTCTGGGTGGGATCCTCCATGTGGGACAACCCTGAGAGCAACCCGAGTGCGGCCTTCATCCTGTCACCCTGCAAGGGACACATGGATGGGGCAAGGGCTGACCTGATCTGGGTGCCTCTGCTGTGCTGTCACCTTAGCTCATGGGGGAGCATGGTCCTGACCACCCTTCAGACACTGAGGGCACCTGCCTCTGTGGTTGCCTTGGATGATAGTTACCAAAGAGACACACTGAAGACCTTTGTGATAAAAATAATAAAATGAAACAGTTACACTTTGTGAAATTTCTGCCCAAGGAAATACATCAACTTTGCAACTAAAATGATAAAATCTTTGCTCTGTGTGCTAGTTCTGACATTTCTTACATTTCATCTGGTTTTCCGGGTTTTGAGCCCACAGAGAAAGCAGATAACTTTTCTGCTAAGCAAGGCTGATATTACGTATGATAAGTGCATCCCTAGCATTTCAATGTATTTGTCACAAAATCAGCCATAGTAAATAAGGTGAAACTGCCAATTAAAACAGTAGACAGCAAGTGCAGCCTTCTGGGTCTGTGTCTCCTGCAAGAGTTGTGTTTGTATGTTTCTCCTGTCATCAATGCAGGCAGAGTACTGAAAAGTGCTGTGACCACCCTCCCGCTCCCCCAGTGCCTTCAAGTGAAAGAAACTTGAATGCCTTAAAGCAAATCACACTACAAAGGAGAGACGTGGCAGCAGGTCAGGCACCAGGGTGGCAAAGGGAAGTTTGGAAGACTAGCCAGCAAGTCTGAGGCAGGCTCAGGGACTGAACTGACCTGATGGACAGTCTGTGTTTTGTCTGCAGCAGTGCTGCAGAAGCAGGTTCTGGGAGAGAGATGTGGAGTCATTCCTGCTGTGAACCGATGGGAGCACGGGATCTAAATAAAGACCATCTTTTCTGCCCTTCACATTTCACATAGAAGCAGATGCCTGAATTTTGTGCTGTGACACAGAGCTGTTGGGACAGGAAAATAGATTACCTTCAGCCCGCTTTTGTTTCCATAGGTAAAGAGGTCAGCCTTTGGATGAGAAGGACCTTGGTGAAAAGTTACATTTCAGCTTCCTTTATCACACTGAAATCACCTTTCAGTCTCGTCAGATTTCTTTGCTTCTGTGAAAAGCTTTTCTTTGCTCTTAGGTACCTTTTGTGTGGAAATTATCAAAGTAGGCTGAAAAAGTGTGATGCAGTCTCAGATCAGGGCTGGTTCTTCACAGTGGAGAGTTTCAGCAGGGGAGGGAAGTGTGGCACTCAAGGCTCTGGGGCCGGGGTCTGCCTGCCATGTAACACCAGCATGCTGCCCAGCACCACTCCCTACACTCCGTGGGGAACATGGGGCCCTCCATTAATGCCAGCAGTCTGTACATATTTCAGCAGCCACTGGTGTATTTTAAAGATTATGTGTTCTAATGAGCAACAGCTGCCACACTGCCAAAACACTAATGTGAGGCTGTGTTTACAAATGTTACTCCCTGTTTAGTCAAGATTAAGTACCTTAAGAACTGCAGTTTTCTAGCCAGCCAATGCAGGAAGAGTTTGGAAAATATAACCAAATCACTGAAAGACAGGCTCTGAGGATGACAGACAGATGTAGCAAGCTAAACTTCAGGAGAGAGAAACCATATGCTCAGCTTGCCTCCAGTGCAATGGCCACACAGCAGTATCAGACCAAAAGAGTGGTGGAGCTGCTGACTGGAAAGCCTCAAGATTCTCATGTCTGTTCCTGTAACTTCCATACACTAATACCTATCCATCCAGTAACAAGGCTGTTTCTTCACACAGAACAATGTTCTTAATTTTTTTGTCTTTTTATAGTATGTAGTTTCCCAACTTCTTCTTACCACAAGATGGAACAAAGTGTCATTCAGTAATAAAACAGATGGAATTTGGTTAAAATATTAATTGATCTCACTGGACTTTAGTTCAATTCAGCTATATCCCACTTTTCCCAAAAGAAAGGTATATGTAGAATAGATTCCTTCGTTCTGGGTCTCATTTTTACAGTATCAAATGACAGTGATGTCTTTTGGGAAATATTTTATTCCCACAAATCTTTTTGTGCCTATAGAAATGATGATGTATCCTACGTAACTGGAAGAGAGGAAGACAAGCACTTTTATGGCCTCCTTGTGATTTCCCTACAACAAAAATTTAGAATATCAGTTTATCTAGATCAATTTAAATACATCTGTAAGTATTGTTACTTATGGTCCAATGCTAGGAATGAAGGATAGGCATTCATCAAATTTAGATGTTTTTGAACAGAGAAATTTATTCCTTTATTCCATATCTGTTAATATACAGATATGAATGAAATTAAGTTTTTTGACGGAGACATACCACAAGAACACACAGGATCAAAGTGCAACTTGAAAAGAATACTACTTACTAGGGCAGGAAATTAAGAGGTCCAGCACAGGAGATAAATTCTAGTACAACACAGGAGATAAATTTTAGTACAAAATTAACAAGTTAATTTCCTAAAAAGTAGTCTTACATCTGGAGGACAGGTAAACGTCTCTTTTCAGAATAGACCAGAAGAAAATACATTTATAGGAAATTCCAGAGCTTATGAAGTTTTGCAAAAAAGTCAAGTTGTCCATGAAAATTAGGTTAGAATAGCTGCAAAAGTTAGTCTTCTTCCACAGGAGATTTTGTTTAATAAATGCAACTTGAATCCAGAAGTTAATTGAGTGTCTTTGTTTAGATACTTCTTCCTCTGGAGGCACAAATTTCTCTTTATGGCCACAGATCACCCTAATGATTGGTGGGAACTCTGAAAATTTTTCTGAGCAGATCCTATGTATAGCAAGAAAGGGAGCCTTTAATCCATTAGACAGAGTTTTGTTCTGGGAGCTGTGAGAGACTGATTTATTTATATTTCATAATATTTCATTATACTGTATTTAATATAATTTCATTCTTTGATTATATGAAATAATATAATTTCATTCTTTGATTCTGTGAAATATAAATAAATCAGTTTCACTGATTTATTTATATTTCATAGAATCAAGGAATGATTTGGGTTGGAAGGGACATTGAGAATTGTTAAGTTCCATTCAGCTTCCTCTAGTTCCAACATCCTTGCCATGGGCAGGGACACCTTCCACTAGTCCAGGTTGCTCAGAACATCATCCTTCTTTTGGCCTTGAACACTTCCAGGAATGGGGCATTCACATCTTCTCTGGGGAACCTGTGCCAGTGCCTCACCACCTTCACAGTAAAGACTCTTTCCTTAATATCTAATTTCACCCTGCCCTCTTTCAGTCTAAAGCCATTCTCCCTTGTCCTGTCCCTTATGTTCTTGTAACAAAAAGCTTGTTAAGTTTGTTTCAGGTACTGGAGGGCCACAATTAGGTCATCCTGAAACTTTCTCCAGGCTGAACAGTCCCAATTCTTTCAGCCTTTCCTCACAGGAGAAGTGCTCCATCCCTCTGATCATCTTGTTCTCTTGTGCTCTGATCCTCCTCTGGACTCAGTCCAAGAGATTGATGTCCTTCCTGTGCTGTGACCCCAGAGCTGATGCAGCCCTGCAGGTGGGCTCTCAGCAGAGCAGAGCAGAGGGGCAGAATCCCCTCCCTGGCCCTGCTGCCCACGCTGCTTTGGATGCAGCCCAGGACACGTTTGGCTTTCTGGGCTGGGAGTGCCCATGGCTGGATCATGTCCACCCTCTCATCCACCAGTACTTCCAAGTCCCCAGGGCTGCTCTCAATTTCAGTTCTTTTCCTTTGATTTATTGACATGTCCAAAGAGAGTGCAATTTCTTACAGTGTTATTTTAAGTCATATAGTTTATTCTTTTCGCTTTTCACAGCTTTATCATGAACATGTACCTGTTTGTGTATGACTTAATGCAATTCTGTGGACATTCTTGGATATTTACAAATATGATCATCAGGTTCATGACATTTGGAAAAGGTAAGGTTCCTTCTCTGTTTTTCTTGGACATTTTAAGTGGCTGTGACAAACACACAGAAATATCAAATTAGAGATAAAGTTAAGATTCTGAACATGTGTATTTCCAATACCAGGGACTGTATTTCAATCAGAAAAGCACTCGATTAAAAATGCTGAACAAATTACTTGTGCCTGTCTTCTATCCTTGTCACATTGGGAATGAAGCTCTTGTTTTGCTAATGAACTTTAATATTCAGTGGCGTACTAGTAACATTTGAGTTAGACATAAACCTTAATGCTTAGGTCCAGTAATTATGGCAAATATTAATCTTACTGAAGCCACCGGGAAAGAATATCTTTGTGGTTATTACACATGACCCTCTATCTCCAAAAATGTTACAATAGATTTCTCTTTCTGTTCCCTGGGGTTAAGACATGAAAATAGAAAACTAGTGACTGGAAATTTAAAATTACTTGTAATGGTGGACAGTATTAGGCATATAAAATGCCTGCTTTCTGGACTACTTGTTTTCGGATACAGGCAAGAATTCAACGTCTTTTAGTGTTTTGGAAATTCCTTATGCATTTCCTCAATATTTTCTCCTATTTAGAAATATCCTAAAGCAGTATCTCTAAACCAACACATCCTGCACAGTGTTTGCCCATGCTTTAAGCACAGGGAATTTAATTATTTTCTCACCTTCCTGCTTCTGTGTCAGAGCCACACATACACAGAGCAGATTGCCTCCTCCACTCCCGGAAGCTTTTCTTCTGCTCCCCAGAGTTTGGTACTGTGTGAACTGTATTTCTGGTCACCTCCAGGGATAGCCTAAAAGCAAACCCAGTAGTTGCTCCAGACTTTAACTGCATAACCATCCTCTAATCTTGCTCTTAATTTTGTCTTTAGATTCACTGGCTGACACGTTTCACTCCATAGGACTTGTAATGCGCCTTTGCCAGCTGTTCTCTGTGTTGGAGATCCTGCACATCCTCATTGGCATTGACAAAAGCCGTCTCCTCCCCAGGTTTCTGCAGGTAAGTTCGTTCTCAAAGCTCTCCTTTCATGACCGACACACATCAGCCGTGGCTACCCCTGGGGACAAGCCCAGGGTGAACTACTCTGAATGTTGCACCTGGACCCTTCCTCAGGCAGCCTGGTTTTCTGATAGTTTCCTAACTGCAGGAATTGCTTCCTCAGAACTGGCCTGGTTGGGAAAGAACTCTCCTGTTAACTTTTTTCTCTTTGAGTGAAACTGAATAGTGAGTACCCCATACTTGGACCTAGAAAATGTCGAGATGAGTGGCCACCAGCAGAAGTATGTCAGTGGCCAATTGCAGTAATCAAATTAAATTCTACAGGGGCCTGGTCCTTCTAAGTTTCTCCCTACATAACCTCCCAGCATCTCTGTAGTCCCCCCAAGTTATCTTCTCCTCCTTCCAGAGGTAATATGCACTCTCTTCTTTTTCCCTGACTTCCAGTAAGTACTCTGTTAACCAAGCTGGTCTTTTTCCCTAGTAGTTTGTCATATGTTCAGCTGAAGGCAGAAAACCAGCCAAAACATCGCATGCTATAGCAGGAAGAAAGATGATAACTCTGATGATTTCCTTGCCATGCTTTTTTTTTTTTTTCTTTTTTTTTTTTTTTTTTTCCCCTTTTGGTGCTTAATGCATTGGAAAAAGGAAAATTATTACTTGAATTTGCCTTCAAACCTTTTCAATCCTTAGTATTTGAGTAAAGGTGAAACTTGTATTTCTCTCAGCAGTCAGAAGGCAGAAGACCAAGGATAGTTAGTTATGTTTTTAGTTTTCTGGATAGCCCATTTTTGTCAGATGACGTATTCATGGGTGAAGATGTTCCTCTTTTCAAGTCTTCATCAACTGTCTAAATAAGTAATTAACTAATTGACTAATACAGATCTCTGTTCTTTATAATGTTCCCTAAGTATGGTAGCAAATCCATCAAAACATAAAGAACTGTTTTTCCTTGCCTAAACCCACAGGTTTTGATGCTAATCTGGCGGAGAAGAAGACTGCTGTCTAGTATGACCTGTAACAAATCTCACATGTCTTGGAAAGAAGAGCACCCTGCTCTTAGTCATTAAAGCAAGCCTTGTCCTGACAGAGTTTACACATTCCCCAGCCCTGACATAGTCTGTTTCTTTCCTACCCAGATTTACACAAGGCAGAGATCAGAGAGGCCTGCACAAACACTATTCTCTTGCCACAAATGACATTAGTATGAAGCAGATATTCTAAGCAAGAAAACTGTGACCTTTCTTGGGCAGTGCAGTTTGTGCAGTGCTCTCCTGGAAAACATGGAGAGGCAGCTCAGGGAACCCTATGGCATTGTGACTCTCAGTGTTCACCTCACACCAAATACAGTTTTGGATCCTTACTTGGTTCTTTCCCCAGCTGCACTTTCACCATGAACAGCTCTGTTCCCTTGATGTTAGCAGCAGCTTCATGCTGTCCAAACAAGACACATAAGCTCTTTGGTGGAGACTCCGCTGTGCCATGGGTTACCTGCTTTTGCTGAGCGTGTAGGTTAAGCAGCTGTGTGCCACCACCACTCCCACATGCCTCATCACACTTTCTTCACTGCCCCTTAGGAAGAAAAGAATGGTATATTTTCCACAATGAACTAGAGAAAGACGGTTAAGAGGTGTTTACCTTGCTACAGCTTACTAGACTGCTGCACAGTCAGGGCACTGATAAAGGTGCAAGAATTTGAGAGGGGTTGCCTGGTTCTGTGCTCCCATCCCCTATTCCAACTCAGAGCTTAAAATATACCCCTGTATGCATCTTTCATTAACAGGCATTTGCATGCACACCCACAGTGAAGTTCACTTGGGGTGATCCCTAGGATGAGAGAAGAGCTGGCTCAGGCAATGTCAGGGAAGCACATGGGTGGAGGTGCCTCGTGATGGCAGGTTGTTATGTAGGAAGTATAGCAAATACAAGATGTAAATGAATCCTTGAGTGAAAGATTTCTCCCTAAGATGTTTGTTGTGGTTTAGCAGCATTTAAGAAAAACACTTTGAGATACATGATACAGATAGTGGAAAAACAAACGCAGAGGAGTCTTCTGGAAAAACTCATTGAGGGACAAAGTCTCAGGCCACCAGGCACCTGAGAAGACCAAGGCAGGTCAAGGCCAAACTTACACCATAAAAGAAAGATGAGTCCTGTGTGATGCATGTGCTGGGGTGAGGTGAGGCAGGGGATGGTGACAAAGCTGGAGCGAAGGGATGTCTCCCAGGCCATTTACACCTTAAATAATTGGAGGAGGACAGGAGAACATGTCACATGTCATTGTTGCCACCAAAACAGAAGGTATTTAAATGTGTTAGCCTGGCTAGGGAGTAAAGGCTGAAAGGGCTTGTACCATAGCAAGGAGAGAGGAAAAGTCTAAGAAGAGACTGGTGTTTTTTGTGAAACAAAGAGCAGTTCTTCATCCTCTGCAAGCAGATTGGATTTACCAAACCAAAAGCAAGGTACTATGGTTTTGTGATAAAACCATTATTTTTTAACTTTAAATACTTAGTGGCACTTTTCTCACTTTTTTTTTTTTGTCAATATACACAAAATTGACGAACTATGTAAGCATTTCAGGTACTGAGTACAAAACTGCACAGTCATGGTTATTAAAAAATGGAAGTGAATGTGCTATTTTCTCTAGCCAAATTTGCTCTGTTTCGCTTACTTGATTAAAAAACTCAGTCTGCCCTGCAGAAACTTATATTACCCTTCAGAACCTGCTTATCCTATGAGAGATCAGTGTCAGAAAAGGAAGGTAATTCCAATTTGATTTTAAAGAAGGAATGAAAACTGAAAACATGCTTTGTGACATGCTTTGTGACATGCTTCCTTTTTATGAATGTGAAAACATAGGACTTGTAGTTTCGTGCTTTATTTTTTTTATTTAAAACATGAGAATAGACAATCTCATCTTCATTTATGCAAGGACAGATGATCCATACAGGAAATGATCCATGGCTGAGCAGCAGCACATGCATTTTGTCTACGTGTGTATAGCACCCTGCTTCTTCAGTTGCAGAAAATGTCCCCAGCCTTTGACTAACCTCTGCATTTAGCTTTGATTTGTGTGGGTTACGTAAAGCTCGGTGTGCTATGAATGGAAAGAGAATAAAGGCAAGCAGGCAGGCGACCTGCTGATTTATGCAGAGAAAGAGGTAGGATGTCACTGTCTGTCCTCATGGGGATATCAAAATTGTCCTGAGCAGCCAGCTCTGTGTCCTGCCCCACAGATGTGCTCCAGACCAAGGTCACATCCTTCCAGTCTTAGTGTCAGGTGGCAGCTTTGTGCAGCCCATTGCTTGCCAGATGAGACCTCAGTCTAACAGGAACAAAATACTTCAAGACGACCAGTTTGTGCCATGTCCAATTTCCTGTTCTTGCAGGTGCTTAACAGGCTTTATAATTTGATTACTGGGTTTCTTCATGTGTAATTAGCAAAGCTGCGTGGCTCCATTGCTCCCCTTCCCCAATACAAATCTGTGATGGAGGCAATCTGCTGAACCCCAGGTAGTGGTTCTCACTGCCTCATGTTTCTGCTTGTATCTTGGGGAGAGAAGAAAATCCACAGCTTCTTCCACTTCCAGATTATAAGGCTGAATTGTGGGTCTTCATAGTCATTCTGTCACTGGCCAGCACACATCCATTTAAAACTGGAGCTTCAAACTGGAGTTTGAAACTACCTTTCTACTGCTTGTCCTTTTTCTCACTGAAATGGGATTGGATCCCATTTACCCCGTGCTGTTTTATAGCACATTTCCTCCTAGCCATTTTTTGAAAAGTGAGTGACTATTTTGAAAGTCTTCCAGCTCTGACATCTAAGGACATGTCCATCTTTTCACTATCATGATGAAGCCCTTGGTCTCTAGCACAACTACCTGTGGCAATCCCCTGAAATAGCTCTTGTATTAAAAATAATGCAGAACTCTCTTTCCACATCTCAAGTCGGATTTTAGGGTCAGTAACAAACTGCCCACAGCACCAATGCTGCATTCTTTACCACTCTACATCTAACAATTTGACCTCAGATCCTGTTTTATCTTTTCTCTCCAGCACACCATCCCACTCAGTGCTCACATGGCTTTTACCTTTGTTTTGATTTCCTTCTTGTGATGGTTGCCCTGCTGTGTTTCTTGTATCTCTGTTCTATCTGGTTTCAGATCTGCATCAGTACTTCCAGTTCCCCCATGTTTTCACTATGTTCCTCAGCATCAGTGTACAAACACAGGACATATTAGCTCTCATTTTCTGTTTCCTGACCCATCTATACAGAAGTCTGCCAACATCTGACCTTTTTAAAAATCAGTTCCTCAGTTAGGGACCTATGGGATCAGCAGCACAAGATGACAGTCATAGGAGGGTGAGAAGCAGGAAAACCACTTCTAGCTGTTTTGGGCCCTCAGTGCTTTCCAAGATGAGGAACCAGATCCCTGGGGGATAGACATGATCTCTTTCTGTATGAAAAATTGCTCTGACGTAATTTTGCTGAATAGTGAAGGCCGCTTTATTTGACAGATGTGGTTTGTGACAAAAGAGAGTTCATGGCCAGAATGGTCCATGCAGGAACCCATAAATATTACGTAGCAAAACTACCACACAAACTTGCTGAGAGCCAAAATTCTTTGTTTAAGGTAGGAGTCTGGGGAAACCAATGAAAACAACACTTAAAAAAACAACCTTGGTAATCCACTTTAATTTCGTAACTTTTAACTGACTTGACATCACAACTTGTGAAAGAAATCATTACAATTAACATACCTTATGGAAGACATGGCATTGGGTAAAAAAATCCAACCTAATGAAGCTCTATCAATTCATACCAACTGCTTAGGTGCATGATTTCTGCTTCAATACTTTCAAATAGAGTGTAAATCAGAGTGAATTGTTACTGTTCTAGGACAGCTTGACAACTGTTGGAGTACTGATTAATTTACTTTACAGGGCAGGGCATGGATACTGTTAGAAAAGTTGTCAGGAAAGCTGCAAAAACACACTTTAAAAAAATTCTTGAGTTTTAGTATTATCAAAGTATTTATTTTAAGCTGGAGACACTGCCTATTTAATCCACTTTATCTTTTCATTTGTGGGTTGGATAAAGTTCAACCACTAGAAAAATGCTAGGACATAAATACTATGGCAATCATTCACGTAAGTGACAAGCTTAAGCCCACTTCCCGTAACCAAGAATAAGATGGAAAGAAAGATAAGGAATCCTAGTTTTCCTCCTTCTTTTTGCAAATCTTACATGAAAGAGATTCCTTGGGACACAGATTTCCAAGATATAAGGAACAGATCTGGGAGTGCAAGATTAGTACTTTCTGGCTTATGACCCCCCTCAAGAAGGGCCCTCTGTATCCTACTGCCTCCCACTCCCTCTCTATCCTACAGCCTACAAGCAAGGAAGGTTATTCCTGCCAGCCCTCCAGGTGGTCAGGTGCAGCACGAGTAGTCCTTGCTTCCACAACCTCCCTGGGCTCACCCACAGGCTTCCTTGGCTACAAACACAAGTCATCCCAGCTGGCAAGCCAACTTCCACACGTACCATAACAGTGCTTTGATGGTACAGCCAGTGGTGCCCGCTTCTCTTTGCTGAAGGACCTTGAACAAAAGCAGGCCATGAAACAAAATATTCACTGCTGATTTTGTGTAAAGAAAACTGTATCTATTTGTGGCCTTCTATTTTGCCAAAATGCCACAGAAATAACAGTTAGAGAAGGTGCTAACTGAATTCAGAGTTTTCTTTTCTTTTCAGATCACTGAGAGAATAATCATTTTATTTGTCGTGATCAACAGTCAGGAAGAAGTTCAAGGGAAATATGTCGTCTGTGTTTTATTTTTCCTTTGGAATTTATTAGATGTGGTCAGGTAAGGAGTCAACATCAAAACCATAGGGTAAACCGGGTTATTCTTGCCAGCTGAACTCTACCCCCATTATGCAGCAGGCTCATCTAATTGTTTCAAAATTGGCAGAGCATATTATCCATTTATAAATAAAAGCTTTAACTTTTAGAGTTACCTAATGATTTTTACAAAAACCACATGTTAAGACTTAGAGTAATTTACAGATGTAAGATAGAGTAATGCATTAGCAGACTGCATTAACATTTGGAGTTCAAGGGCTTTGATGTTTTAAACAAAAATTTAGAAGGCAATCACAACTACATTCTGGAAAACAGCAATTCCTGAAACCATCCTGGTTGCCATTACCATCTTGTTGCTTTATTATTTTATTTTTTTATCCACTTTGATCCAAGATTGACAGCACAGTAAGGCAGCATGAGCAGAACTTCTTGCAAAGGCAGAAAGACTATTCTGGGTTAATTGCACAGTGGTTTCCAAAAAGCCAAGAGCTCCTGCTGCAGGAGACTGAGAGTTTTGGTGTAGAAGGGCATATAGTACACCACAAGAACAACACATACTTCTCATTTGTAATGTAAGCCTCTACAGTTTGTAGACTTAGAGCATGTGCATACAGAATTAAGAAGCATTTTAAGAAGACACAGCACTCACAGCAACTCATGTATTACAGCAAAACTTTTTTTTTCCTGATAAAATGCCTTTCTGCTAATTTAAATATATTGCTTAGGGCACTGACTGAAGAATATCATTTTAGACAGCAAAGGAAACTTATGTTATAAAAGAGATCTGAAACAGGAAAGTATCAGAGAGAATTAAAAAAGATTTTAAGTCAGCTTGAGAATATTTAAAAATACATTTTAATATGCTGCTGCTTGTATTAATTATTTTGATTATAGTTCCATCCCATTTCTTCTTGAAGTTTGTAAAACTAAAACAGTAGAACCTAATCTGAAATGAAAGGGTTCAGTGTGGCTGGAGAAATGCCAACAGTATAAACAATATTTGTTGTGAAGTCTTGTTAGTGGATAATTGCATCATTGATGCATCATTATTTTCTACCCTAGCTAAAGACCAGTTAAACACCACAGCAGTAACAGCAGTTGTTTAACAGGAAAGCTCCTGTGGTCAATAGCAGCAAATTACCAATTCAAATAAACCATAGTACAACTCATACAAATTTAGAATTCTTACCTGATTTCTCTTACAGCATACATGACATGTCCTAGTATCTCAGAGAAGTATTCATGTCTAAAAGTGCATAGGGATCTTTCCCATCCCTTAGCCAACTACTCTTGAAGTATTACAAGTTTTTCCACATAAAGTTTCAGGGACATAAATTTCTCTGAGAGACTATTTATTATGCATCATGGCTAGTGATACACTGAGAGCAAGTTCTGCTCTTTCCTGCTCATACCATAACAGCCCATGGAATTGTATAGAGAGGGAATAGTTGTTTCCTTTTTGTATTGTGTTGAGATTCAGCCTTAAGAGCAACAGGAATAAAAAATGGAGACAATCCTGCGGTTGCAGAGGGCAACCTTGAGAGACGATGGTCCATTTTCAATGGTCCACTCTTCTACAGTCCAAGTATGATGCAAAATTAATCAAATTAATAAATGAAAAGGGAATACAGGTGTGTCTAACACTAGTTTTATCTGTCAGAAAATCTTGGGTAACAGATTTACACATCTCTAGCAAGCTTTCAGCTGACCAAAAGTGCAATCAGACATATTTCTCCAGTGTTTGGAGAGCTGCTATACCACTTTAAGATCAATCCAAGATCAGGTCACCTTTGGAGACTGAAGTACTAAGCATTCTGTTCTCCCAATAAGCAACAGTAGCAGCCACAGTAAAAATAAAATACTGCAATACACTGGTGAGCAACTGCTTTTTTTGGACCTACTACCCCTGCTGAGGTCCAGTAGAGGGACAGATGTACTACAGGTTATGTACCTGCAATTGCCCTCTTGTTTAACCCTCTCCAGCAGTGATTCAGCTAGCTCAGCAGTCATAAACCAGGATTGTCTCAGTCCCAAGCAACAGTAATATTCTGCCTGCCCCTCTCAGTTGCAACACCTGCATCTGAAATCCATTTTCTGATGGACCAGTATGAAATAGTTTCTGATACAGCTTTTTGTCTGGAGGGCTTTATTGCTGTCTGCCTGCTTTAGGGTAGCACCACAGATAATTCTTCTGAAAAAATGAACCATCTACTGTCAGGCATTGGAGTCTGAACAAAAACTGTTGCTGGCTCTGAAATTTACTTAAACAGCTCCAAGCTCTTCTGCAATTCCTTTGAATTTTACAATAGTGTATCTTTATTCTAAAGACATCATAATTTCCTCTGAGCCCATCTGCTTTCCTCTTATTGCAGGTACACTTACAATATGTTGGCAAGGATGGGCATATACTACCTACCACTAACATGGCTCAACTTCTCACTGTGCATCCTGCTTTATCCCCTTTCAGTTCTGGCTAAAGGTAAGGAGTTGGGAAGGGTAGCTTCCTTAATATTCCTTAATATTCCTTAATATTACTTAATATTCCTTAATATTCCTTAATATTCCTTAATATTCTTCAGTAAAATGTGATCACTTCAGTTGCTGTTTGTGTTTAACATAGTTCCTCATGTGTTGCTAAACCTGTCATAAATGTTCATGTACCTTCATATTAACCTCTATGTCACCTCTGTCTCTCTTTTCTGTTATTTTTTTCTTTAATAGGGACTATCTGGAGTTTGGGGTTGTGTGTCTGGTAGGTCTTAGGGTTCTTGGTGTTACATTTTTAAAAATCTGGGAGAATGTTCTTTTTGTCTAAGTAAAGCAGAAAGATACCCTCACAAAAGACAAATGGATTCCTCCCTTCTAGACTGAGTATACTAGACAGCAAGTTCCAGAGTTTCTCCCCTACTGAGGCTGACCTTACTGGCTCAGGTCATACTTAGCAGGTTATCATACTTACACTGAGAACTCTGCCCACTGAGAACACACTGAAAGTACTTGTTTCTGACCTTTTTATTTTTATTTCTAATAATAATATTTTCTAAATTAATTATTATTAATTAATTATTGTTAGTGAACAGGATATATATATTAATTCTAATATTTAGAGCAATTAGCACCCCAAACCTACAAAACTGAACTCAAAGAGAAAACATGCATATGTATATGAATGCATATATATATATAGGTATATAAAATAGGTAACTGACTTGTTCATTAAGCTTTTTGATGATCTGCTTAATTCCTAAGAATTCACCATGTTTTTACAGGATTTGCAATTTGTGTATCACTGCCTTATTTTGAATCCTTTGGCACATACTCTATCAAGCTACCATTTCCATTCACCTTCTCAATCTACTTCCCCTATGTTCTGAAAATGTACCTGCTAGTGCTCTTTGCAGGTAAGTATCTCATCTTCCAGAGAGCTGGGTCTCAACACAACTTGGATGCCTTTGCAACAAAAAATCAAATCTGTACTAGGCCTTTCACGAACTCTAACTCTCTCTGCTACATCTCCTGCAGACCACTGCAGGAAAGTGCATCACCACCTGTTTTGATTTCCAGTATCTTTTAAATATAAATAGTTAAATGTGCAAGATACACTATGTGTATGGTACATAAAAACACAAACCTATAGAAGGTGATTCAGTGATGCTAGCCTTACAGCTATTTAGTGAAACTTGTCTTTTTTTTTTATTAAATCAGTTCCCATTAGATCATACGCTGGTTCTGTGCAACTGTTCTTCACTCATAATGCCTAGCTGGGATGAAAAATTATACCTAAATTAAGACTTTTACAGCATGATTATTTAAAGGGATGAAAAAACAAAGCCACTCCAAAACTTGCATGTAAACAGGTCCCTTCTCCTTCTCATCAAAACACTTTGGAAAAAATTTCAACTGAATTTAGCTGCATCATACAGAAATCTTCATTCTGTCATTGGCTTTAATGTGAATTTGAAGGACCTCATCTTTATGATGGAGTGTTCTGTTTCTAAGTACATGGAAGGAACTGTGCAAGGTTGCCAGCTGAAGGCTCTTACAGTCCTTTCTAAATTAATTGTCGACAGTTTGAATTCTACTGCTTTGTTCTTACACCGTTTTGTGTTTTGATTCAGGTATGTGCTTTATCATCCGGAACCTTATCTCTGAGAGAATGGCACACCTAGGGACAGGCAACATCAAAAATAAAAGAAGCTAAGTTGATATTTTGTTTGGAAGGACAAAATATATTCCTAGGGGATTGCTGCACATCATAGATAAAAACAAACTGGAAAGATTTCTCAATGCAAAACTCCTCTTTGCATGAACATTATCTGGCTGTGTAGAATTTTCAGAAAAAACAGATCTCTTGACTGCACCTCAAAAATACAGCAGCTTTTGGAAACTTTGGAATGTGTTTTGAAAACTCTTTGACTTCAAGTGGCAAGAGTTTTTTCAAATTAATTTTTTTTCTAATATATGTTACAGAATTCTGAAAAAAATGAAGCATGCCACAACTCACTGCCACACCCTTATTTCAGTGTTAATTCTTACCTATAGCTACAGATATTCTGTAATGACAATATCATTTAATCTGTAAGATTATTTTATACTAGGCCAACGTGTATGTATCTCATGCATAAATGCTAAATTGGCTGGAACTGGAATCTCTCAAGGAGCAGAAGTCAGAACCTTTGCAACCTAGAGACTAACAAGCTGATTAACCCAGGCATTCACTAAGGATCCTTCACATTCTGGCTCCATCCTTCAGTTGTCAAAAGACAGTTCCAGAAAATGTAGCTAAATCAGAAAGGCAAGTGTTAAGGTACTCATCTACTGTATATTCAAGGAGAAGTTTAAGGGTCAGAAATAAACACTTGTAACCATGTGTTTGGCATGTCAGTCTCTTCTCCCACAATTATTTTCTTCCATGCTGAACAGCAGACAGATATGTGCAAAAAAAAAAAGTGATGTAGTCAGGTCAATGTGTTGTTCCTAAAAGGGAACTGAATTACTGTCAAAAGCCATGTGGAAAATTCTAGGCATTTTACTCAATGGTATTGCTCCTTATACTTCTCTAGGATCAACTGTGAGAATGCAACTACAACACAGGCTTTTCAAAGGTTGCCAGTGAGGAATATACACAGCAACCCAGTGGATTATACAGGCAAGAATAGCCAAATCATTCCTTAGAGGCTAGCAGGAGCTTTTCTGCTGTTTCATCTGTATTGGTTATCACCTACATTTCAATTCAAGTATGTGGGGGAGAAAAGTGAGGCTATTTTTGTTTTTAGCTGACTGAAAACTGTGGGAAGGGAGCCTAGATAGTAGGAGAAGATAATATTTAAAGGGAAACTAAATACTGTTAAAATATGAAGAGGCTTTTTCCTGTATGACTTTTCAAACCATGCAGCCTAAGAGGTTATATAAGGAAACAGTGAAGCAAAATTAATTTGTTTTGAAAGGTCACCTACTATAATTTTTATTTATTTAATAAATGTGGCAGACAATGCCTACAGACTATTTTGACCACCAAGTATTTGCAGACGATAAGGAACAAGACCACGCTTAGAATAGTATAGTGTCAATCCTGGATTAATTTTTTTCAAACCACTGCAGACAGAAATTTGGAACTTAGTAGAGAAACAGGAGTGCTTTCACTTAGGGCTTCTGTCTAACCCAAACTGATTCAAGTGTGAACAGTGTTTAACAAACATACAGAGCAGCTGAATAAGATGACAGTTTTGAAGACGGCCATAGTAAGTCCACATTAAACCACTATATAGCTTGCTAAAGTTGAAACATGAACATTTTTTCCTTGGAAATTCAATCCAATATGCCAGAAACAGCTGGCTCCAGCCAGTTCCAAAATGGAGCCACTGCAGGACACTGCTGTGCCAAACAGCAAAGATGACGACATGGCTCCTCTCTGAAAACTTAAGGTAAGAAATGTTATGCAGCAGCTGTGAGAAGAAGAGTAAGAAAGATGTAAGAGAAACAGCTCTGTAGACACCAAGGCCAATGGAGAAGATGAAGAGCTACTCTAGGCACTGCAGCAGATTTCTCTGTGGGCCATGAAGAAGACCATGGTGGACCAGGTTGTCTCTCTGCAACCCATGAGGAAACACACCAGACAAAATATCCACACAGCACACTGTGGAGGACCCCAGGCTGGAGCAGGTGGCTGTGCCCTGAGGAAGGCTGCAGCCCATGGAGAGCCCACACAAGTAAAGCAGGAACAGTGGCCCATTGGGGACCCCTACTGAGGTAGCTTTTTCCTAATGGACTGTACCCCATGCTCTACTCTACAACAGTGCTTGAAGGGCTGCAGCTTGTAAGAAGAAACCATGAAGGACTGTATCCCATGGGAGGGACCCCATGCTGGAGCACAGCGACAGTGAGAAGACAAACAAGTAGCAGAGATCAAGGTTTATTATCCAAATGCAATCCCCACACCCACCTTGTACTGCTTGGGGAGGGAGGAGGTAGAAAATGCAGGAATGAAGGAGTAAAGTGAACCTAGGAAAAAGGGAGGTGTTGGGGGAGGTAATTTTAGTTTTGCCTTTTTTCTTTCCATCCTACTCTATTTTTAATTGGCAATAAATTTTTCTTCGACAAGTTGAATCTGTTTTTGTGACAGTGAATAGTAAATGGTCACTCTGTCTTTATCTTGACCCATGAACTTTCTCATCCTATTTTCTCCCTGTTCTGTTGAGGAGGAGGAGGGAGATTGAATGCCCTGTTGAGGAGATGGGGCTGAATGGACATCTGGAAGCCAGTTGAGGTCAAACCTATCACAGATAAAGCCATGTTTATTGTTTTATTGTTGTTAAAAAAATGTTATGTCTAGAGTCTTACAGCTGTGTAAAATGCTGGAATAGGAAAAGGATTTTTTAAAATTCACTATGGAGAGGTCCCCCAAGCATAAACTGCACAAAAAAGGCTTACGTTCATGACAGAAGTCTTCCCCACCTCTTTCTGGTACAGAGGTAACTTGGGGCAGACAGTTGGCAGATTGAGGCAGTCAAGCCTTCCATATTTGACCACAAAAAGACCACTGTAACTACAGCTCCAATGCCTCACCTGAGTTCCTGGAAAAGCTCAGAACTGGGCAGGCAAAAAGATGTTTGAGACAATGGCTTTTATGACAATGAACTGTACTTCAGTGATTGTAGCCTGTTAGGAAGGGGTGGGATCCACTTGTCTAAAAAGAGCATGAGAAGCTCTGGCAGCAGACCAGCCAATTTGGTGAGATGGGCTTTAAACTGAATGACTTGGCTGGGGTCCGCAGTGGCAATACTCATGCCATTGCTTTCTCCTGGGGAGTGGGCCATGCCAACCAGTGCAAGCTTGGCTGCTGCAAGATGAGAGTCCTAGGGCTAACCCCATCAAAGGTGTGTATGGCTATGGGGAATCTTCTTACACTCCTCCTAGGGAATCTGGACGCTCAGCTGCATCCCATTTGTGCCTGTACACAAATGCACCAAGCACAGGGAACAAACAAGAAGAACTGGCAATCTATGTGTGGTCACAGAGTTATGCTCTCATTGCAATTTCAGAGACATGGTGGGATAGCTCACCACTGGAATGTTATCATGGATTTCTGTGTACTTTTTAGAAAGGACAGGTCAGTGAGGTGAGGTGGTGGAGTTGGTCTTTATGTGAAAGAATATCAAGCTCTGCCCAGGGACAGACAAGGAGTTGAGAGCTTATGGGTAAAGAATGAGGGACAGCCTAAAATGGGTGACACTGTTGTGGGTGTATACTACAGGCCACCTGACTCGGACAAGGAAGCTGATGAGGCTTTCTGGAGGTAAGTTCTGGAGGTAACTGGAAGTAGCCTTGAGATTATGGGCCCTGGTCCTCCTCTGAGAGTTCAACAATCCTGATAACTGTTGGAGGCACAACGTGGCTCGGCACACAGTTCAGGAAGTTCCTGCAGATACTGGAAGATAACTTAGTAATGCAAGTGGTGGAGGAGCCAGTGAGGAGAGGTGTGTTGCCCTCCAGAGGACCCTTTCCACTCCAGTAATTCTGTGATTCTCTGAACTTCAATCTTTGTGCCTTGAGATACCAGCAACCCCAGATCTCTTTATAGAGGGCTGCTCTCCAGTATGACTTCTCTACCCATTTAGACTTGTATCAGGAATCTGATACTGGTACCTCTGTATCTGACGCAGAATCCACCGTTTTAACTTGTTAAATTTCATGTCATTAATCATAGCCAAATCCTTGACTATCCACATCTTTCTGCATCATCTTGAGGGACAAGGGTCTCTTGTCCCTCAAGAGTCAATAGCAACTTTCAAGTTTAGTATTATCAGCAAACATAACTGTGCATTCAACTCCTGCCTCCTAATCATGGACAGTACATTGAACTGAACTGGCCCCAGATTTGAAACCTGAGGAATGCTGCAGATGACTGTTTGTCAGCTCCATGCACTAGAACTCTTTGAGCTCCGCCCTTCTGCCAGTTCTTTAACCAGTGCACCCACTAGGTGGGTAGCTGTATCCTAGAAGGGTATCAGATGAGTTACTCAGGGCTTTCCCTTTGTGAACTCATGTTGACTCTGACTGATGGTTGTATTGTTCTTTAATTGCCTTTCAATAGTATCCAGTATGATCTCAGTAAATTTTCCCTGGTAATGAAGTTGTCTGTGTCTTTCCTCACGCCCTTCTGGTAAATGGATTAATGTTGGGCAGCTTCTGGTCAGCAGGGATCTCCCTTAGACTCCCAAGAGATAGTTCCTCCAGTGCTGTGGGATGAATCCCATCAGGCCCCACTGACTTAGAAAGATTAAACTGATACAACTGCTCATTTACAGTTTCAGTGTCCAGAAATGGACAGTCACTGCTGCTGTATGTTCTCTAACTGAGAGGACAGGCCAGACCAATGTGTATCAATGTTATTAATGACTGATGCAAAAGCATTATAATGCCTCTGCATTTTCTTCATCCTTTTTTCAGGTTGACTACCTTCATCAATAATTGGTTGAATATTTTCCTAAGATCTCCTCTTGCTCTAAACGTACCCAGAATTTCTTTTTTTTAATCTGACCTAACGCTGGCCAGTTTAAACTCTGAGCTTTGGACTTTCGTGTTTTCTCCCTACACAAGGGAACCACAGCTCTGTAATCATCCTGTGAGGTCTGACCTCTCTTACAGCGATCATTCTTTGTGAGTTCCAAGAGGAGTTCCCTGTTCAGCCAAGCTGCTCTTCTGCCCTTCTAGCCCTTGCTAGACTTTTGGCATAGTGTGATTTACTTGTTCCTGTGCTTCTAAAAGGTTGCTCTTAAAAATGGACCAGCACTCATGGATCTCTAAGCCCTGAAAATCAGATTCCCAGAGGATACTGCTAACTAGCTTCCTAAGCAGTTTAAGATTTGCTATCCTGAAATCTTGGATAGCAACTCTGATGTGTTGTTTCTCATTTACACCAAAAAATTTAAACTCATGATTACTGTGGCCAAAACAGCCACCTAAAAATCCCATCTTCTCCTTTCCTATTCACATACAGCAAGTTTGCAAGTTTGTGATGGGGAGGGGCAGAGGGAGAGCTGGAGCACATCTTTCCTAGTTGTCTCAATGAATACTTGTAGCAAGAAATTATCTTCAACATACTTCTGGAATTTCTGAGACTTCCTTGTCACAGTTGTCTATCATTTCCAGTTGATGTCCAGGAAATTGAAGTTTTCCATATGAACAAGGGCTAGTGGTCCAGAGATTTCTCCTCACTGCCCATAGATTAAATAATCACTGCTGGCATTGTGACTGAGTGAACAGCAGTAGACACCTACAGTGACATCTGCTTTGTTTTCCATCTCCCTAATTCTCACTCAGAGGCTTTCAACTACATTATTCCTAACTGCAAGGAATGACAGTGAAAAC